AGCTCTGGATAGAATTGTTTCATTTTTGTGAGGCTTATCAATTTAAGGAAGTAATACTCCTAATTATTAGGTTGATGTCCCCTCCATATTTTGCGTTTTTATTATTAATAAATTTAGAGCTGGTATCCCATCAACTGGGCATTGCCCAAAAAAAAAAAAAACAATTACTAGTATAAAATGATTAGAGTTTTTTCATTTAAATCATGCAATCCAAGTGGAGACACACAACTATGGAGTATGGAGATTGGGACTAAGGTAAACAAATACGGCTTGTAACTTCTTTTTTTTTTGAGGTAGAGTGTCTAACTAATACCAATAATATTTCGTGAGAAAAATCACTTCAATTTAGGCACATTATACATATCTGGTCTCATTTACTTGTCCACGACTAATATTAAGATTATTAACATTAGTTAACAATGTTGCAATTTTAACACCCGTTATGTAGTTTATGTTATTAACACGATTTTATGATCAAAAGTAATTTTGTATAAAGTTGAGTAAGAATAATAAAATCGAATAGAAGTTATGTGAGAAAACATATAAAACCTACTTGTGGATAGAAATTTTTTTATCAACCATGCAATAGGCCAAAAATTAATCCAAAAATCCATCTTGAATGTTTGATGCCCCATATATCCAATGGTATTATAGTACCCATTATCTTTTCCCAACATTATTTAACATTACAACTATGCACTTCCGACTTCCCTAATTCCAATATTCTCATAGGAGTACTAATTAATTGTACAGAGAATCCTATAAACTAATCAGTTATCTTAATTTTAAGGGTTAATTACATTTACCTCCCTTGAGGTTTGACCAAATAACGAATCGATCCCTGAGATTTGGACAAATAACAGTCCACCCCTTTGAATAACAAGACACTTAACAATTACCCACCTGCTATTAAGAGACGTTAGTGATTCTACTTGACATCAGGAAAAAGAAAACTTGGAATGATGAAGTTGCCTTTTTTGTATCCAGCTGTCATCAAGATTAATTATAATTCCGAAAATACCCTTTTCATTAAAAATATATATAAATAATATTGGGATTATAATTCTTTATCATTCACATCCCAATCACGTTTGACTTGCCTACCTTTATCTGTACAAAAAGAGAGAAGAAAAAGACTTCCCCCATTTTTCTCCAAGTTTAACGAGCACAAAAACTTCAAGATAAAATTGGTTAAATAGCGTCCAAAGGAAAACTAGTATGTTTTGTATTTAACATAAATTAAATATGTGAAAGTTAAAAAAAAAAAGAAATTACCCATAACATACCAGCTCTTTATGGGAAACTGACAGGTTTTGTATTTAATGTGCTATTTAACCAATTTTTCATATTTAAACAAATTTACGAAAATTAAAATAATGTATTTGAAATTTACGAAAATTAAAATAACGTATTTGAAAATTTGAGTCTTAAATATGAAAAATTGGTTAAATAGCGCATAACATACCAGTTCTTTATGGAAAACTGGCAGGTTTTGTAGTATATTTTGTACCAACTCTTTATGGGAAATATACCAACTCTTTATGGGACAAATTGGTTAAATAGCGCCCAAAGGAAAACTAGTATATTTTGTATTTAACATAAATTAAATATGTGAAAGTTAAAAAAAAAAAAGAAATTGCCCATAACATACCAGCTCTTTATGGGAAACTGGCAGGTTTTGTATTTAATGCGCTATTTAACCAACTTTTCATATTTAAACAAATTTATGAAAATTAAAATAACGTATTTGAAATTTACGAAAATTAAAATAACGTATTTGAAATTTAAGAAAATTAAAATAACGTATTTGAAAATTTGAGTCTTAAATATGAAAAATTAGTTAAATAGCGCATAACATACCAGCTCTTTATGGAAAACTGGCAGGTTTTTTAGTATATTTTGTACCAACTCTTTATGGGAAATATACCAGCTCTTTATGGGAAAAATCGGTTAAATAGCGCCCAAAGGAAAACTAGTATATTTTGTATTTAACATAAATTAAATATGTGAAAGTTAAAAAAAAAAAAAAAAGAAATTGCCCATAACATACCAGCTCTTTATGGGAAACTGGCAGGTTTTGTATTTAATGCGCTATTTAACCAATTTTTCATATTTAAACAAATTTATGAAAATTAAAATAACGTATTTGAAATTTACGAAAATTAAAATAACGTATTTGAAAATTTGAGTCTTAAATATGAAAAATTGGTTAAATAGCGCATAACATACCAGCTCTTTATGGAAAACTGGCAGGTTTTTTAGTATATTTTGTACCAACTCTTTATGGGAAATATACCAGCTCTTTATGGGAAAAATCGGTTAAATAGCGCCCAAAGGAAAACTAGTATATTTTGTATTTAACATAAATTAAATATGTGAAAGTTAAAAAAAAAAAAAGAAATTGCCCATAACATACCAGCTCTTTATGGGAAACTGGCAGGTTTCGTATTTAATGCGCTATTTAACCAATTTTTCATATTTAAACAAATTTACGAAAATTAAAATAACGTATTTGAAAATTTGAGTCTTAAATATGAAAATTTGGTTAAATAGCGCATAACATACCAGCTCTTTATGGAAAACTAGCAGGTTTTGTAGTATGTTTTGTACTAACTCTTTATGGGAAACATACCAGTTCTTTATGGGAAAAATTGGTTAAATAGCGCCCAAAGGAAAACTAGTATATTTTGTATTTAACATACATTAAATATGTGAAAGTTAAAAAAAAAAAGAAATTGCCCATAACATACCATATCTTTATGGGAAACTGATGTTGGGATTGTGGGGGTTGAAGTGATAAAGTCTCTGTCTATATTGTTTCCCGCCTAAAGGCTAAAATAGTAAGTACATATTTCTATTTTTATGTCTTTAAAAATTGATGGAAATCAATAAGGGTTGTTCAGACTTTTGGCTATTTTCGTTCCATATAACTAACAAACTTAGCGTGGGAGAGTAATTTTGGGAGAGTAATTTGTTATTTGTCAAACCTCAAGGGAGGTAAATGTAATTAACCCTAATTTTAATTAACTTTTCTTTTTTCCTTTTATTTAATTAACTATCAACATGTAGTATTAAATCATTTTATCTTTTGACGCCCTGCCCGGCTGCCCCCCACCGGCGCCCCTCTAAGTTATGGCTTTTGATCAGCGCTCAACACCTCAGCGTCACGCAGGCACGCGCACTAGGCAGCATTTTGTTTTGGGTTAGTTTCATTTTGTACCCTTTAACTATATGCTAATTGTTATTTTGGTACCTAAATTCTAAAGTAAGACGCTTTAATTCTTAAAGCATGTCTTGATTCTTGCTTTGATGTCTAAGCTTTAAGTTGAGATATTTAATTCCTAAATTATAGCATTGAAAGAAGAACCAAAGCACTTGAGACTCAAATCAAGTTTGGATAAGTAAGAACTCATTCGCGTTTGGTTTGCAAATTAATCAAACCAATATTGAACATCATTTTTTATTTTGTAAAATGTTAAACTTGGTTCAGGCTTCAATCAATTAGCATAAAACTAAAATTTATAAAAATAACAAGCTACTCAAACAAGATTCAAGCTCGATGTGGTAAAAATTTATTTGAGTTAGGCTTGACAAAAAAAAAAAACCAAAATTGAACACAATTCTAAACTTGTTAAAATAATCAAACAACTTTAAAAGATAGGTTATTCGGTATAATTAGACTCGTTTACACTATTATTAAATTATACCCTAATTTTCACTTTAGATCCACAAAATCCTTTTTTTACTCTAATTTTGAATTTTTTTTGTTATGATTTAATTTGATTTTCTTCTATGCCGTTGCAACATGCTGCTCAAATGACTAATTTTCATCCATTAACAATTGTACTTAAATGAGATGATCTTAATAGTTTAGGAACTCAATGCATAACTTACTGGCTGTTCTATTCTTTGCTATGAACGAAATAGAACACTTGTTCTATTTTGAAGTAAAAACAAAACATAAATGTGTTTGATTCATAACATTATTTTTTTAAACAAAAGAATACAACTATATTTGATTAGACATTATCATTGTTGTATGAGATAAAATGATTAATGAGGTTTAAATTTAGCATAATATTAAAGTTAGCGCATAATTATGGATTTGTCTTGACCAAGTTAATTTCAATTTAAACTGTGTCTAACCCAAATAACAATATCAAATTAAATATTTCATATGTTTAATATTTGTACGTGTTCAAAACAAGTAAGAATGTATAAACTAATTGTTTATTTGTTTATCTCAAAGCATTGTTATTGTAATTGAGCAATACATAATTAAAAGTACATAAATCTAGTATTTTTTTTAGTTGTAATACATTAGTAAACATTTTGAATTTTTAAACATATACAATTTTTCAAGAAATTTGAAGCTAACTCAATTTCAGCTTGTTAGAAAAATGCGTTGAGATGCAATCTTACATGTGTGAGCTTGAGTGCTTCAAATTTGGGGTAAAAAAAGAGATATATATATATATATATTTCTTGTGTTGGATAAAGACTTGTTGAAACCCAATTAAGAACCAATCATAAGTTTTAAAGCCGAGAAAGGCTGAGTCGGACTAGGTCGAGTTGAGCCGAACTAGGTGGTATTGAGTTAAGTAGGTTGAGAAATTTAGGTGGGATATACGATGGTAATTGAGTGAACATGAAATGAAAACAATTTAAAACATTCATTTATTGATTTTCTATTTTAAGTGTTTTTTAAATAGCTAAAAACAACAATTTTGGCCTTTTAAAAACAAGGCAAACAAAAAGTGAAATTAGGTATGTTTAAAGGGTGCAAAGTGAAATCTACAAACAAAAACATAAAAACAGCAAACATAAATGTTACAAAACAGAGAGTAAAAAATTAGGTATGGTTAAAGGGTGCAAAGTGAAATTAACCATTTTGTTTTTTCATAATACTCCACTCCCCACTCAGGCGCGCGTGGAATTATCAATCGGACGGCCCGCCTTTCCTTGTACTTTATCACGTGGGGTAATAAAAAGTGCAGAGAATTTCCCAATTTTCCCCTGTTCTTTCTTCTCTCGTGCCGGCTCATTTTTTCACAACTCCCCATTGAAAACCTCTTCTTCATTCTTCTTCATCAACCAAAAGCTCAGGTATATTCCATTTTCATTAATTTTTATAATTCTTTCTTCTCTTTTGTGCCTCATTTACTTATCGAATTCTGTTATTCATGCAGCCTTTTAGTTTCACTTTGATTTTTAATTTCACTGATGATCTTTTTTTTTTTGTTTGGGTTTTGCACAAGGGTTGGAGGACATGCAATGGGATGGTTTTGTTTAGTGTCATTCTTTTAGCTTAGATCTTAGCTTTTCATTTTATGGGATTTTTTAGGCATTTCTGGAAATCCCCTTTGCTAGTTAACAAATTTGAGTAGCTATGTATTGATCCGTTTGCTTTGTTGGGATAATGCTGTTATGGATTTCGTCATATTTTTCGTCCAATTCGTTTATTTCGGGACTCTTTTTGTCCCCACTTTAGTTGCATGGAGTTTTTTTTTTTTTTTTTTAAATAAACTTTTCTTTTTTTGGATTTAATTTTGGTTTTGCATGTTTGCCTGTGTTTCTTTATACGCTGCTTGACACTTCTGTTGAATTTTTTTTTTTATTGAAATCTATTTTGGGCTGAGGTTTGGTTTTGCATTCCGCATTTTTATAGTCTGATTTTACACTTATGTGGTTTGGCTTTCAGTATGGGGAGAACTAAGGGCACACTTGAAACCTTCATTTGTAAAGCTGGCTCAATTTTGAACTGTTAGGAATAAAGGGCATTTGTATTCATTTATGTACATATTGATTACTACATTTACACGATAAAGTATTCGTATGGACATAAATCAGTAGAAACTAGAAGTGCAGTAAATAGTTGACATTCTGCCTTATTATTATTTAGGACTACATATGCTCTCTTTGCCGAAAGCTTCTCTTTCTTACAAATCACAGTATATAATCTGCTTGATGTATCCCTTTTTACCATTCTTCTGGAATTCTGAGTTGGATTGCTTGTAAGACCTATAGGCTTGGTTTGCTGAATTATTTATTTTGCCTTCTGCATTGGACTGCTTTGTATCCATAATTTCCAAGCAATTCATTCCTTTTGGAGAGCCGTGCATTTGTTAGGTTATGCTGAAATAACATTAATGATTATATGCTGGTCAGGAGAGGAGTATGTAACTGAAATGTCAGATCATGTATGGGACAATCAAGTGCAACCTAATTAAAGATTCAGTGCTTTAATCCCTGTGACGAAAAGGTAATGGCAGTTTCCAAAATATGTGGATTCATAGTCTGGAAATTAAATAATTACGTCAAAGAGAAAATAATTCCTCCCTATGTCGTCAACTGCTTTTGTGTTGTCAAAGTAGGTTTTGATCTAAATCTGTGGTTCAATTCTTGTGCTCAATCAGATTTTGTGGAATAATTTTCGTTGACTTGTATTTTTGAGGAAATCATCTTGATAGAAATTCTTGTGTTTGAGGAATTTTATTAACAATAGCTTCTCTTGTCTGGGAGAGATGAGGCCTATTGCTACAACTGCTGACAACTGGACATTGAAGATCTCCTATTATAGAGTTTTAATTGTTAAAAAAAATAAATGGGATATTCATATTTGCGAGTGAAGTTACCAGTGTGCAACACCTAAAACAGAATTAGGACTTTTAAAGGATATATTGGTGCATCTCTTAATTGCTTCAGTATATTGATTGTTTAAATTTTGGGAAAGCTAATTTTGCCTGTGGAAATTTTTAGAACAAATAAAAACACAGATTAAACATATTTTTGTTTTTGGAGTTATCATTCTTTTGGCTAAAAACCTATATTGGATACATTATTGAACACATGAGTGCTTTGCGTTCAGTTTGTACTTGTTTGCGAATTGCGGCATAGGTGATAATGCTAATTATTGTCAGTTGGCAAATTCAAAGTAGCTTCAAGTTTGTCTGCATTCTGACCTGACTATGCTAGTGGAGACAACTGTAATTGATATGGCTACTGCTAAAAGGTCGTAGTTGTCTTTTCCATATTGACTTGAATAGCAAATTTGCAAATATGGTACAACTTCTCAAAGTAACGCGCGTGGAATTAAGACATAGTCTGGCCTACCCAATCAAATATGAAAAACCACTAGTTGAACAGTTGTCCAGGCTGCATGGCCCCTAAAACTGGCTTGGATGAAAACTGTTCAATTTATTGCCACCTAGGAAAAAAATGGGCAGTTAGCTAAGCCATTGAACGGGACTAGTTTAAGGCCACAGTGCAATTGATAGCAACTCTTCAAATGTGGTTAGTTTACTTCGTTAAATGACGGCCCAAATTGGAATGCAAATAATTACCATTTCGTTATAGTTTCTCATTGAAAATTACGTCATGAAGTGGTGGCCAAATGTGGTGCATGGTGGTGATGCCATCAGGAATGGCAACGCAGCTGGGGGATACTTGTAGACAATGATTTCTTAAAGTTGAGGAGGATCCTTTTTTATTGATTTGCTTGAATGAAATTCTTGTTTTGCTGAAAGTTTCATTACATCCCTTTTAAAAAGTGTAAGTTAGGAGCAAGTAGAGATTCATTTTTTATTTTTATTTATTTTTAACTTACTCAGACCCGGTTGGCATACAAAATGCTGCATCTGAATATTCCCTTGACAATGTGGCTTGGACCTCCCACAATAGCCTGCTAAGTTATCAATTCAAACTCCAATTAATTCTAGTTGCTAGTTGATGATGATGCTAGTGCTGTAAATAACATATCCTCACTAAGAAATGCTCTAGAGCTTATATTATCGGCGATTTCTATAGCTTTTTCTGCAACCATCTAATGAACTTTGCATCCACGAATGCTCGAGTAAATTCTCAAATAGTGGTATTTTTCAAAAAGACTTCTCAAATAGTGAGGGCTCTGAAATAACGCATTCACTGAATACATCTTTTAAACAACGCATTTAGTGAATGTGTTTTTTAGGGAAAAAATGCCTAGCCAAATAAAAGAGCGCATTCTGTGAATGCGTTGTTTGAGGAAACAATGCATTTACTGAGTGCTTTTTTGACCCTTTGGGAAGAAGTTTAAAGAACACCACCTTTTCGGAAGTGATTTTAGAAAACCCTACTTTTTGGGAATTTACTTGCGAATGCTCAATTGAACATGTTATAGGACAAAACATTTATATTGTTACCATATTATGTGAAGTGGCTCAATGGGGCAGGGGAGTCCTCTTATTCATTGTGCCCTCAGGGAGGGGGGAGTACTCGTGGGAAAGTGGCCCCATTGCCATCCCTAGATGCCACAGTGCCACCCCTCCTTATCTTACAATTCTTTGAAAATTTGACATAGTTTAGGGATTGTATAGTAATTTAATTTTCATTCAAGGCTTAATGTGCTTATTTTGTCCCCAATGATATTTATTTATATTTGCGGATTGAAACCAAAAGTTTAGAACAGTTTTTACTCAATTCCTTCAATAATCTTTGTTTAGCTGATGGATTTCAAATTCTTTTCTCAAATTTTTTTGAAGTTTCCCAAAGAAAGTGATCTGTTTAATGAGGCTTTGAAATCGACAGTCATTTAAAATTCCTTTTTGAAATCAAATCCATTTAAACACCTTAGGTTATTCCGTGAAATATAGTATACTATCTTTCTCGGTATGATTTCCTTGAGTTTTATCATACTTTATTCCGAATGGTTCAAAATATAGACTTTGATTGATTCACTTAAGGTTATTTTCTAATTTCGATACCTACTCATCACAAGGGCTTGGTCCTAAAATATAGTGTCAAAATTGGTTCAACCATCTTGTCACGATATAGGTGTTGTGATGGTTACTGGATGTCTTTTGTAGAAATTTCATGTTTCTCCTGCTGTTATGGACATTTAAATGCATACACTTATGTAGTTGCATGCAAATCCTCTGCATATTTCAGGGTAACAAACTAGTCTAAGAGAATTTTAAGTATGAATTTGGGTGATGCGATGACATTTCCTTGTTAAAGATCACATCCCTCTAGCATTTTAATCTTCTTAAGTATCACAAGAAGCAATATTTTTACTTTTAATCCCCTCAAATTATTTTTCTCTCCGTCTTTTAGTGTGGCACCAATCAGTTTATAGTGGTGTTGTGGGTAGATATCTAAGTTAAGCAATATCCAAAAGGATATGATGCTCTGAAAGAAAGGGAATGAGGAAGATTCCTGTTTGCAATCAGCGAAGTCTATTGGCTGCAAATTGGATGGTTGTAATAGTATTAGAGGCAACGAAAAAGACGAGGAAAACTTTGATTCTTAATCATTGCACAAATGTTTAAAAAGAAAAAGGGAGGTAATCCTCTGCATAATAGGACGACATCTAAATTATTTAATTTCCACAAAGGGAAATTCCTATCTTGAATAGTCTTTTCAAAGAGTTGCAATTTAATGTTCACAAGGGCTTGGGTCCAGGTGCTACATACTCAGTATCTTCTTCCCTTTTTAGAAACTGGGTAAAAGTTATGCCTTATTATCAATTTTCAACTCTTCTGTCTCCCTTATCACAAATCTTCCTGTTTTTTTTAAATAGTATGATAGAAAATGGACATTACCAGGGCTTTATAGTTTCAGTTACAAAACTAACCTACTCACAAGTACTGTGGCACATCTCAGGGCTGTAAGAGTTTTTTTAGCTGCTAATTTTATGTGCTGATTATAGGATGCAGATAATAAATACCTTATGGTGTCCCCCCCCCCTCTGGGGGGTCAGACATTAAAAAAGTAAGGGTTTACTTCTTAAAAGTGAAAAAATTCTTTATCTCCGAAGCTCTGGCTCAATAAAACCAGATGTAGCCAATTTATTGGGGCATAAACTTGTAAGTCCAACTAAAATTTGCTTATTAGAAATTTGAGAGTATTGACTGCATATGGCTGCTCATGAATGCAGCTTTTCAGCTGGATTTAGCTACAAAGAAGCTAAAATATGCATTACTCTGGCTGTTGTCTACAGTGAAGCATACGGACATTACTCTATAATCTTACCATCAGGCGAGTATTAAGCCAAAATATGCTTTACTACAGATGCAGCCCAGTGGTGAAGCTTGTGCATAAGTTACTGAATCAGCCTACAGCAAATGCCGCCTAAGAAGTAAAATAAATCTATATCAGCATCAAATTGGTCTTTCCAAATTTAGGTTTCTTATCTTCAATTATTTTTCAAATCTTCCTGGCATTTGTCTTCACCATTTGTATTTTTGACGATAATTAAACTAAAATGTGTTCTATGTGCAAGATGCATAGCAGGAGTTCAATAGTTTAGTTTTGAAATGCATTAGCATCACTTTTATGATCAGAAATAGGGATAAGTCTTTTGCATTTCCCACAGCCTCATGCATATGCAGATAGAATGATTCTGTTCTTTTCAGTGAAATTGATGCATGTTTTCTCCTGCAGCATGGTGCCTGAGGTTTGTATAGCTTTGTGGATAATGATGTACCTGTGGAGAAGTATGCAAGCTGAATGATTATTGCGATTCTTTCTCTTGACAGGTTCTTTTGAATTCTGAATTGTTGATCGATATGCATCTTCTGTATCTTACACTTGTTCTAGTTTATAGGTTAGCTGTCCCCAAGTGCATGGTTTTCTTTTGTATGCTATTATCCATTTGTTTATTCTTTTTAAGGGGGTCAGGGAAGTATGTTTTCATTGACGTGAAGTTGAAAGAGTCTTTTCTGACTTTTTCATCTCTAATTGGGCATAGATGTGACAATTGGCATCATTGAGCTTTCCATTTTGGAAATAAGAACGTGAATTGCTGTTGAGTAAGGCTGTGTGGGATCCACTACCAAGCCTTACCAAATACTTGATTGAAGTATATTTAGAAAGGCTGATAGATAAGAACTGAGGTAATGGGATCTCAAGGGGGTGTTGGTAAGAGTACTGTTGGTGGAACTCAAATCCATGAGCCCAAGTCAAGCTCATTGGCAAGGCAAGGATCTTTATACAGTCTAACTCTTGATGAGGTTCAGCACCACTTAGGGGATTTGGGGAAACCATTAAGCAGCATGAACCTTGATGAGCTTCTTAAGACTGTCTGGACTGCTGAGGCTAACCAAGGAACTGGAGGTGTTGATTATGGGGTACATCAGCATGGCCAGCTACCTTTGGCTTTAAATCGCCAATCAAGCCTTACATTGTCTAGGGATCTGAGCAAGAAGACTGTGGATGAGGTCTGGCAAGATATTCAACAAGGACAGAAACACAATTATGAGAGGAAAGCTCAGGAAAGACAAATTACTCTTGGTGAAATAACACTGGAGGATTTCTTGGTTAAGGCAGGAGTGGTTGCTGAACCAACTCCATCAAAGAATTCTGGTTCAAGTTTAGGGGTTGATGCTGTTGTACTTCAACAACAGAATGTTCCACCACAATCTCAGTGGACACATTATCAGATCCCTTCAATTCATCAGTCACCACCACCTCAGCAGCAGCAGCAGCAGAACATTATGCCTGTTTTTATGCCTGGCCATCCAGTTCAACCGCAGCTTACAATTGGTTCAAATCCTATGATGGATTCTGCATATCCTGAAACTCAAATGACCATGTCCCCCTCCACTTTGATGGGCACTCTCTCTGATACACAAACACCAGGAAGGAGGAGGGTTGGTTCTGGTGATGTGATACAAAAGACTGTTGAAAGGAGACAGAAGAGGATGATCAAGAACCGGGAATCTGCAGCACGTTCACGAGCAAGAAAACAGGTGATGTTTAAACCTATTCAAATGTGTAATTCTCTAAGTTGAAAATATTCGATGGCTATAGTATGATTCTGTTCATGGACAGGCATATACACATGAGCTGGAGAACAAGGTTACACGCCTTGAAGAGGAGAATGAAAGGCTTAAGAGGCAGAGGGTATGGTTTATAGTACTAAATACAACTTATTGATGTTCTGTAGTCTGATTTTCAATCCTTGCTGCCTTCGGGTGGAGAATCTTATATGATAATTTCGGACAGAAATTATTTTTACCGATTTCACTCTTTAAATACATCATGGTCTAATCAGTTTCTGCGAGATATTGGCTCATAATGTCTAAATTCTTGTTGATGCATGAATTGGGGAGTTTTTGGAAATTGTACGGGTAATTCTGTGTTTGGGAAATGGAAACAAATTGAGCAGCACCAAAGCTTTTTAGGCCAAGCACCGTGTGAATTGTGATAGATGTTTTGTAGACTTAGTACTTGCACTAAATCACACTATTATAGGAAATTATTGCAGGAATGGAGATCAAATAAAATTAGAATAGAAAACAAAAGAAAACTGCTTAGAATCTGAGATGAAGAACAGAATTAGGAAACTCTAGGAATCATTCCTAGGAACCTTTAGGCATTACACAACCTGAAGAAGATAATGTGTCTGCTGATTTTATTAATGCATTACAGTCTTTGTATAGCCCTGAATCAAATCCTATTACAAGGATTTGCTACTTAACTAGAATATGAACAAGGCTATTCCTAATTAGAAAGGATTCCTTATTCACTCAAGAATGAAAACTCAAAAACTACTTGCCAAAACCAAAAATTTCTGTGACAAGCTAAATTATTAGAATGCACCTAACAACTTTTGTTCAGAAGATCTGAGGATTCTTTAAATTAATTGTGTACTTGAATGGAAAGTAAGAATCCTTTTTAAGACTCAACCCAACTCCCAAAGAATGCTTTGTATCTTTGGATTAAGCAAAATTCTGGAAATCCTTGAATCTTGGATTTCCTTGACTCATTTGTTGGCTGCATCCCAAATATCTAAAACTCTTAGAGTGCAATAGCTGGTAGAAATCATTTTTTGTTCTTTGGAGTGGCTATTAGTACTACGTCCCCTTCCTCTATACACACACACACGCGCGTGCGCGCAAAAATATTGTATGTAAGAACTCTTGAACTCTCCCATGTTTTGTGCTATGTTGATAGCTGGGTAGAATATGCAACTTCTAAGTGGATCCTTTGATTTGTGTAAGAATCTCTTTGTTCCAAGTTCGCAGCATCTTCGAGAAATGTCATTCTACCCTGCCATTATATGGATTTGCTTGAAAAGGTATATGTTAAAAGGTAAAGGCACTTAAACAAATTGGTAGGTTTACTATGATCTACTTTCGTGTTGGTTTGGTGCTGTCTTTGGTTAGGTTTTTCTAATGTTGGCATTTTTTTAACCATTTCTTCTGTATTCTAATTTGGACATATTCCCCCCGTCCCATTGTTAATGTTATAGTTTCACTTTTTCACTATCCCAAAATTTGAGTCACAATTGAATCAAACCAGTTTCATTAACTAATTTCCATTTACACCCTTCAATTAGTAATGACAGGATTCTTCAAATTACACTAAGCAATTGTATTGGTCCACCATGGCACATCATCTCAGTCATCTATTACTGTGACATCTGTGGGTTGCAGAAATTGTTCATTGTAGAAAGGACATCCCATCAGCAAGTCCATATGTTCAACTAAGGGCAAGACCGGAAGAAACTGAAAACTTGAGCCCCACTAGCTACAGTACATAAAAAGTGCAGTTCCCAAAAAAGTCCCAATTTTTGGGACAGAGGGAGTAGTATTTAGTAATGGATTGATTTGGCTGATCTAGTGACAGAGATACGTACGACTCAAATATCTTTTATTGAGATTAAGGTACAGGATTAATTTTAGGTGTTAATAATCTAGAGTTGCTTCAACAATGTTCCTTCATAGCTACTATGAAAATGAACCTTGGATTGCGAGTGATTTCTTGAGAAATTATAATTGCTCTGATGCTTTTTGTTTGGTGTTGGATGATGGCCTCTATTTGAGGTTTTGCAAACCTTGACCCTTTCGATGAAGGTTGGGATCTCACTTCTCCTAGTGTAGTCATTTTAACTGAGTTAGTTTTTGTGCCAACTGTTTTATTTTACTGCTTACTACTTAACTGAATACAGCATTACCGGAGCAATCTGAGAAGCTTAGTGTCATACACCTATTTAGTAAATTTGTTGGTAACATTTTAAGTGCGGTATGGCTTGTAGCACCTACCTCCAACAGAGTGCAAGTTATACATTTTATTCATAGAATCTCTTTTACTTAGATGTGAACTGAGTTATTGATGGAGGTTATGCTTTATAACACGTGTCTTGCATATGCATTTGGATATATTGATCATATATGCTGCTTTGTCCTTTTTCTTATTTATGCTTCTTTATGATACGTTTTCTTTCAGTTGTTATTATGAACCTAAAAGGTTAGTTGCATTTCATAACTGTCCAACTTAATGTGGCTATGCACTTTAAGGCCCAGTGGGGCATTGGCGTATGTCCTAGATGTGCTTACTATGGCTTTCCATTAAACCGTGTTGTAGTGGAGGCAGTATTATTGAACTCAGACTGGAGCTGCCAGTTTGACTGATTGAACCAGGAACCTGCTGGGTCTCCTGTCCGAGTTAATACTAAAACTCAGTGGGGGAAAAGACCCAGTCAAATTCGTGGTTGAACTGGGAACCAATAAAAAAATTGGGTTTCTGTCCCCCTTTGTAATTTTTTTTTTCTTGCTGAAGTTTTGTTTTTTTTTTTCTTGGCCTGATTCCATTGTCCGCACATTGCCAGACACCGGTGCTTGTCATCATCTCCACCTTCTCCAAGTCTGACTCCATCTCAAAAGCCACTCATGCTAGTTCAAGCCTTAAAAACTCTAAGATGAACTAAGAGAAAGAGAAATAAATAAATAAATAAAAGAGGAGAAGACAATAAACAAGAGAGAGAGGGTTTCACACCTCTGTGTGTTTGTGCATGTGTGTGTGATTTTGATGAAATAAAGAAACTACAAGGAAGAAGGTACGATGTCAGCGTGCAGAGAAATAGACGCTGACCGCTTACAAAGATTTAGGTTTCATTATTTAGTAGTAACTTTTGATGTTCCTTACAATCTTACTCTTCTATTTTGATCCCTAATGTTTTGAGAAACTGTAAATAGAGCCATAAACATTTTCCAAGTTACATTTCTGGCCTTAATTTCTTCAATTTTTTTACTGAATCCTTTGTATTATTTATAAAGTCACCAATGAGGGTAATTTTCTGTATTTTTTTTGTTTTACATATAAAAATATATATGATGTTGCAACATCTTCCTTTTCTCCGGTTATTTGACCTTGGTCTAACTGGTTGAACCCGTTGATACCTGACCTCGTGACCCTTGCCTGAGCTTGGCCAAGCTGCTGCCTAGTCTGAGTTTCAGTCTGAGTTCATTTTTTATTTGTGATATTCATTAATAGATGTAGATATGATTATTTTGTTCTGCTTCTTTGGCCCTTGTGTTGCATATGCTGTGCACAACAAATAGCAAATCGAGTGAATTGCTTATGCGCCACTCCTAATCTAATTATAAATTGTTGATTTAGCCATAGAAGGCTCAAAAGTTTCCATGTCTGGAAGTAATGATGTGGGGATTTAACATTTAATTTAAGGGCAAATTATCCAATTGGCCCTTTAACTCTTTGTCTAAGTAAAAATAAGCCCCTCATCTATTTTTTGCTGACTTTAAGCCCTCGAACTTGTAAAATTGGACACCCGTGACCCTTTTAGCCAGTTTCTCCGGTTTTGCAACCGGAAAGTGAATTCACACGAATGCCAGTATGCTTTTAAGAAGGGCATTTTTGTCCGCATATTCTAAGCAAAAAAGGAATAACTCCTCTCTCCTCTCTCCTCATTGACTTCTTCACCGATGTTGTCTCCCTCTCCTCTCCTCTCTCCCGCAACCTCTCCCTCTCCCTCCTATTCATCTCCTCCCCCATGGAAAAACCTAACCCCATTCTCTTCTCCCAAAATCAAATGCCCAGACAAGACACTCATGGAAAAAACCGGCAAGACACAATCAATCACAGCACACTTCATCAACTTCACCTCTTCAAAATCTGCCTCCAATTTGATAGCAAAAACCCAAATCTTCGAATTCGAAACAGAATACATGTTGAAAAAATTACTCCCACCCGCCAATTTCACCGAAACGCCATGAGAAACCGCGAAAACAATGCCATACTTGTTATCATCGAACCTCAAATCCCTATGGTTAGATCGAACCTTGAGCTTCACAAACGCCTTCCGGGTAGGATGAAAAATAAAGAAGCGGAAGAGAACAGCTGTGCTGCCGAGGAAAGGTGAGGAGGTGATGAAAATAGAACGAGGGTTAGGGTTAGAGAGGAGGTGGAGGAAGGCAGCGGAGGAGGTGGGAGAAGGGACGAGAGTGGAGGGAGAAGGGAAGGAAGAGAGGGGAGAGAGAAGGGTAAAGAGACAAAGAGGTGTCGGAATGGTGAAGGGCGAGGGAGTTGGAATTGGAATTGAAGAGGAAAGAGGTGATGTGGGGAGGTAGAGAATACTGGGCAAGCGAGTTTTGAATCTTTTGACAAAAATGCCCTTCTTAAAAGCATACTGGCATTCGTGTGAATTCACTTTTCGGTTGCAAAACCGGAGAAACTGGCTAAAAGGGTCACGGGTGTCCAATTTTACAAGTTCGAGGGCTTAAAGTCAGCAAAAAATAGATAAGGGGCTTATTTTTACTTAGACAAAGAGTTCAAGGGTCAATTGGATAATTTGCCCTTAATTTAATGATGTTGGCCATTGACATATAGAAATCAATGAGATTGGACCCTTTTATGTACAGGATAATTTTATTGCTACAATTGCTAGCTAGTCATATTCACTTCGAAGGAAATTAGGCCACTACTATAAAAGTCCTGTGTTGAAGTCTCAAGTAATAATATCCACTGGAGACCTATGAAAAAGTAATAGCTTTTGTTATTTTTATGGTAGGTAGTATGACTACTTAGAAGTGGTATTTGAGTTCGTGAAGGCCCTAAATCATTCAAACATTTTTCTTCATCTTGAGATTGGAACTAGAGTTGGAATGTACATGACCAAAATTGAACATACTTCAATCATTTTCTGACAACAGGTCAATGTTTTCCAAAAGTCAATCCATTACTATTATTTCCTGTCATAATTGCTCTCAAGTTGTTTTGTATATTGTATTGTAAAATTTGCTGGTGGAATTAATTGATATGGTATGGCATTAGATACCTTTGCAATGATATGCCTAACCTGGACATTGAAGTTGAAAGTTTGTATTGGACTTTGTGGTTTTTGTGAATTTATTTACGCATAGAAGTATGATGCTTGTTACCTTGAATAGAGGCAGCAATAGGCTCATCAGAGTGGAGTGCACTTTGGAGAATGAAAGCTAATGCATAGCATAGCATAGTGTCGACAATTTTGATTAGGTAACAGTTAATGCACAGTATTAGCATACCGGCATACGTACTTGGTTGAGCAAATTACAAGTGGAGTGCTGTGCATAGTTTCTTGCGTTTTGTATGCTTAGCCTCACTAGACACATCAGAATGAGAGTCAACTTGTAACAAGTAGCTTCTACATCAGATTTTATTTCGTGGGTGGAATTGAAATCAATGTGAATTTGAATTCTGGGCAATGCTGTTACTATTGCTGCTGCTGCAGCGGCAGTTGACAAGATTACCGGAATCTTGCTAATGTAGATTATCATCAGCCTACTCACGATTCTGTGGTTGAGATTTGGTCGCTTACAAGATGAGTTGCAATTATTTACAACTTTCTCTTTGGGTGTTATAACTTTATAATCTTACTGATATATTTGCAGGAGATGGAGAAAGCATTAACAACTGTGCCACCACCAGAGCCGAAGTATCAGCTGCGAAGAACAAGTTCAGGCCCTGTTTGACACCAATACATCATCATACAGATATTTGTTATGCCATAGAGATTTTGCTTGCAAGGTGTTGTTCATACCATCCTATGCAAATGCTGGCCTTTGGAACCGTCAGTGCTTTTTTACCCCTTTCTTTTTTTTTTTTGTACATTTTGTAGTTTTTAACCTGGAGAAATTTGTTCCTTTTTGGATGATTACATGGAAATATATGACCTTGTAGTTTGGTTACTTGCACCCTTTTCGTATTTTAATAGTTTATGTTTCCTATTCACTAATTGCATTGCCATTTATGTTATCCTATAAGAACTATGTTTGGTTATGCAAGCATATGCTGCCAAATCTTGAACTGTGTTTGAAGACCAAAAACAAAAACATTCCGGTTAAGCAATGTCACGGGCCTTCTTGTTAACAATTCTGCTGGTTTTAACTTTCATAAGACACTATAGGAGGAAAAATGGTTGCTAGTGTCTGATTTCTTCATGAACGCCCCAAACTTGGAGGCGTTGCTGGGTCAAAAGGCAAGCGTTCGAGGTGTTTCGAAGAGCATAACAACGGGGTGCGGATAGACTGACCCAAATTCGGATGGATGTTATAGAGCCAGCTATGAAAAGGTGTAATCTAGTATTGTAGTTTTAGGTTATTGATCCAGTTTAGCTTGAGAATTGCACAATAAAAGTGGACAGCCAGGGCTGTTGGGAAAGAAGAGGGAAAAGGAGCCGTTTACGCTCATGGGCAAACACACTAGCAAATCAGTTCCAGAAACCGACATTAATTACCAATGAGGGGTAAAATAGGTAATTGGTGGCAACGTAGCAACTTCGTGGCACCGGCCTTTTTGGGCCAAGGATAGCTAGCAGCACTTTCGACGGGTGCAAGACAGCACATGCATTTTCACGTATGGACAACTGAAGGCGCCCGACTTACTACTGGCCTGGAAACGCTTTAATCATCTTAAATTGGTGATGTTGTGAGGTGGGAATCACGCCTTCCAAGTATTCATCATTCGAGTGTTTTTCTGAAGTAAAGTTCTCTTTCTAGCATTTTCTTCTCTTTATGATCTACAGAGACTACAATTAAATTATTGATTAGGCCAATTAACATAAATTTTGATGTACATAATCAGTGAGATTAGTTGGGCTAAAACAACTTGTAGTAAAGCATCTTTTTTTTTTAGTATAAATGGGAGGACTCGAACTTGTCCGATACTGCTCAAATTTGGAGATCACTATGCCAGTGTATTTGCTACGAGTGCGTGATTGAGATGAGTTCACAAAAGGATATTTCTTTTTTATTCTGAAAAAATGAAAGAAAAAAGAAAATTGCAAGAGATTATGTGTAACAATTTTTTTTTTACAAAGGAATGATGGGAGAAGAATTTAGAGCTTAAATCCCCCTCAGGATTTAGAGTTTCTGGGTTCGAATCCCTCCTTCCCTCTCCTTGCTCCTTAAATTTCACTCCTCTGTTGCTAGATTTTTTTTTCTAAGAAGAAAAGAACATGAAGCTTAAAAGGAAAATTCAAGGAGTAGAAATAACATATATAGGAGGAGAATTTTTATTATTAAATTGTTTGAAAGTTCAAATAAGGTTGAACTCCTGCCTGAAAAACCAGAATTCAATCCTGACTAGCAGGTTTAAGGTAGGGAAGAAATAGGGGAGTGGGAGAGGTAAAAAAAAAAAAAATCACTTTATTTAATATGCACGTCAGTATACATCCATTGCAGCCATAGAGAAATTGTCCACAGATGGGTTCATTCTGTTAAATTAGCATATTACCATATGTATCAGATACAATCCCATCATAGACATGAAAATGTATCTTTTCTCCTCTTTTGCTAAAATTTCATAAAACTAGTTCTGTATAGTCTGTGTCTAGCTATGATTTTTTTTATCCTATATATATATATATATATATATATATATCATCTAGGTGATTAAAAAACGCACTAATATAAACTATTTTCTCATAACCAAGTTATTTTGTACATTCTCCAATTTAATCAAGAGAATATCAAACCTATCTACTGCTTCGAGTCCAGCAATTCTTGCTGTTTTTGGCTTTGTAATCTCAAATTAATTTATGTCCTGGTTAAAGTTTCAACAAATATGTATTTGTTTAACAGGCGCACGATATTTGATGTATCTTTGGAGAAAAAAGGAAGTGAGTATACTCAGAAAGAAAATCAAGAATAGCCAATTAATTGAAACATGAGCAAGAAAAGAGCGAAATAGTTTTAGATTAATTTTACTTGCGTTGATAGTGTATACATTGTCAACTATATACTATCAACCTTGAATAAACGATAATAATGCAAAATTTGAATTTGAAATTCAATTTTTATATAAATTAATCTTATATATACTATCACTATTAGTTATATGACACATGTGCAAAATTGGAATTTGAAACTCAAAGTTTGCTTATATATCATCCATCCAACTATAATAGTGTATACATTGATAGTGTATATAAAATTTACTCTTTTTATACATGTGTTATGAATTTAACGATAATAGTATATATAGTGTCAGTGCATAAGATTTATTCAATAGTTTTAGCATCTGCAATTCTTTTCCAAGAAATAACTCAATTTGTCTTCAATTATTGATTTATTTCCATATGCACATGTATAGAAGAATAGATTCTGTTCAAGATGCATGGTAGGGGGAAACCATTTAGGCTTGGTCTTGTGCAAAAAGTTCTTGAAAGGTAAATGGAACTTCCAAAAAGCTGGATTTCCTTCTTCCACTAAAAGGAACCCTTCATCCCAAGTTCCGCGACCGGTTTGCTACTCATCAGAGATGTAGGAATCAACGATGACTCTTTCATACTCGTTCGACTCGACCTGAGTCGACTCAGAGATTCAAAAAAATCGCCCGCAACCATCTGAGTCAACCCGCTTCAACTTGGATCCAAGGATGCAACAAACTTTCCGGTATTCTAAAACCCAAGAAGAGGCAACGATCATCAGAAAATAACATGTCAAAAACATTGAAAATCCATGGACAGTAATCAAGAAAAATACAATAACAGAGATATAAGGAAAAAAAATAAAAAGCATGAGATGGGTAAATAAGGAAACCAGGGAGAGGAAAGCGGCGAGGAAAAAGAAACCAAGAAAGTTTGGACTTGAGAAAAAGGAATTGGGTTCTGGCTATGGCAATCAACCCAGAATTAAAATAGACGGGATTCTAACAAGATTGTAATATTAAAATAAAAGTTATAATGAAGACTTACTTGTATATAGCATAATATTGTTGAAGATATCTCGAAACTTGATAAAACTTCTAAAGAGATTCTTGTTTAAAGAAATTTTTACAAAAGAGAGGTTTTGAGGGTTCTAACAGTACTAGCATCACACACGCCCCTTTACAATACATAAGCATGTATTTATGGTAGGCTAGTGTAATTATATTTTAAATTTCATTTACATTTCATGTTTATGTCGACATTATTTGAATATATATTTTATCTTCATGTTGACACTTCTTTCAAAATCTTGAATTTGCTGTCAACTATATGTTACATTTTATTATGACCACAACTTTTGAATTATTGTTGCATCTTTTATATCTAATTTGGATCTTGTGCACATGGGCCACCAAATGGATCTTACATCATAATAGATTCTGAAGATTTTGCAATCTCCTTTAACTCCTCTTGTTTGCTTTTGAGATGGTCCATATACTGCTTGAGTATGTCTGGATCTTCTATAATTTTTGCAAATAAAAAGTAATGAGTCGATCTTGATAATCCATCTTCTTTAATTTTTTTCATCTCTTTCCTTCTTCTTTTGAATCTCCTTGGATATTGAATGTATTTGCCATTGGAGTTTTTGTCCCGTTTGAAGAAATCTTTTTACATTTTCTTGCAAACAATAGTCCATGGTAAAGTCTGTCCACCATTTGATTTTGTATTGTCTAATCAATGACATTGGGAATGGTTTTGGAAGTTGCTGTATAATCTTGTAACTCCATCAAAAAATCCATAGAACTTTGAACTCAAAATGGAATAATATTGGCTTTGTATATTCTTCTCCTGGTGCTTTTCTTTGATATAATTGGAATTCCATTTTTGCTTTAGGGGGAAAACTCTTGAGTTGCGGACCAAAATAATTCCACCAATGGTAAAATTAAATTGAAAATTCTCGATCACAATTGGTATGAAATGTAAAGAACCATGAATGATTGAAGAGACGAAAGAGAAAGGCTCTACACCAGGCCATTCTGTAATCCTGGTATTTGTAGCCATCTAAAATGTGTCTGATTGAAAAGGTTTTCTTTGAATAGAGAGATACCCATTCATCTAGTCAGCACACCTTTTTAATTACACATTTGGAATGAGAAATTTTATTTGGATCTTTTTTGTCTGGAACTGAAGAAATTTCGACGGAATTTGTGTCCAATAAAATCAATTCATAAGATTTGATAGTCTTCGATACACCATTGGCATCCTTCTGGAAATATTCTATTAGTAAGGGCTAATAAGAACTATAGGGTGGAGGTTCTTTGAATTTGGTGAGAGTAATCTGTTGTGTAATTGGTTTAGTGAAGTAAGAGTTTGAATTTTCTGGGATTTTTTCTTCGGTGTTTTTCTTAGAGGATGAAGGTGGCGTTTGAGTGGTTTGAGCATATGATAATGGATGAAAGTCTGAAAGGACTTGAAATGTATTTGAAGTAGAGATCTGAGTGGTTTTCATCTCATAATCTTTGACTAACAAAACTTTTGAAAAGTTTCCTTTGCTCATTTTTCTACAGGATGTCAACAGATAATGTTATGCATCTCTCGTAATTCTTGTTTTATCCATTTCTTGTAACGGGAAGCCTTTTTTCTGCGTTGAATAAGGAAATGATGCATTATCTGAAACCTTTGAATATTCCTTCTTTTCAAAAAACATTTCTCTAGAATGGTAGTAATTGCTCTGAAGGATTTAAGAGATATCTAATCATATTTGAAAATGTGTTATGATTGGATTCTCTGACTCTCTCCATTTGGCTTTATAATATAACTAGTTTTGTACCTATTTGTTGAACGGGAATCGTAGAAAAAAAAAAAAAAAACTATTTAGTCAATTTTATAAAAATGTCGATATAAAATACAAATTTAATGTATAATCTATTATAACTTGTTTTAAGTATATTACTATGTGCGCATTGTAATATAAAGTATTCTTATAATATAAATTTGAACATCTAATTCAATGAATAATAATTCAAAAATGGAAAAAAAAACATTCAACAATACCATAACATTCAAAAATTTGACAATAAATAAAAAGTGCAGTAAATAGTATCAAATAATATTCTACTCTTCAGAAACTTGTTTTTGTTTTTCTTATGTTTGAACATTCTTCTCAATTTGTCCGTGCAACTCAGCATTTATTGATTTTTCATTATCACTGCATGACAGCAAAGCAGGATAACTAAGTATAAAAAAATAAATGATTTATCGCATTCAAGGTTATATATAACAATATGTAAAGATTATAATTTAAGAAAATAAAATAGTATATTAAATCTACCTTCTCATGCAAATCTTTTTATGAGGATTCCCTTTCTCTGTGGTTTTTGTTGAACCCTCTGATGAATGATTCATATGAAGTGTATTGAAATGCTGTTGATTAGAATCATCTGTTATACTAATTGGGATCTGAGAAGAAGATGCTTTAGGTTGGTATTTGTTGTCGGTTCTGCCAATCTGATAATGATTTATCAAAATTAAAGGTAAAAATATTATGTGAGATATAGTATGTGAAACATAAGAGAAATTTATTGCACATTACCTGTGAAAGCATGAAATGCGTTTCCCTCCCGAAATCACAGTGGAACCATCTAGTCACTATAAATCTATTACTACCTTGTTCCATATTGTAATTGTTCAACTTGATTTGGAATACAAAAGGTTTCCACGTGATCTTATTTATAATTGATGATACGATTTCATTGCTAAATCCTTCCTGGAAATGAAATGCGTAATAGATTTTTTTTGTTAGAATATTCAACGGCTGAGATAAGTGTCGGATTGTCTACTATTATTAAAAATATTTTAAAAAATTAGATATAAGTTTACCTTGTTAAATTCTTCAAGAACAAAAGAAAATTTGTGTTCTATTATTCTTTCAGTCTTTTGATCAAATATAACAAACCAAACACTACTGGTTGCATCACTTGCTAAGACTTTTAACATATACCTGTATAAATACACATATTCTAAAAGTTATGTTTATGTAGATATTGTAGCAATTAAAATGATAAAAAGGTTAACACCTACGACATACCTCAATTTAGGATACTCCACATTTTGATTGCAAGCATTACACAGTATAGGATACTCCATATTTTTCTTACAATACAGGGCCTTGGATGTCGACTACTGACAGCATTGATAGTGGTAGCTAATATTCTGAATGTAGATAGAATTTGCTTTTAAACTTCTTGATTATGGGAGCAAGGAATTGATGTATTCTGCAAAGCACTTTCATGGCGCTATTTATGAAGCATAGACTATAAGTGTATATAGCCAATAGTTGCCGGAAGTTCATGTTGTTTAAGTGATCAGGTTCCTGACCTCTCTTCTATTTAAACTATGTTGATAAGACATAAGGCTGGATATTTTTTAAAAAATCATATGAAACCATTCTCAAGTGGATGAATATTCTCAAGTGGATTAATTAAGTAAACGGCCAGAGTCTTTTAATTAACTAATGAATTTGCAGATATATCTAATAGAGATATTTATGTCTATTGTATTTATATCGCATTACTTTCCAGTGCCTTTTGTTTTTGGTTGTTTTTCCTAAAGGTAAATTAACAAACATCTTAGCATATGATCACAAAAATCAATTAACAAACATGTTAGCAAGAATCTTACAAAAATAACGATGAAAGTACTTGTTTAAATCCTATGTCTTCATACAAAACAAACAGAAAATAAAACAAAAAAAAAAACAAAATTCAAGATATGTTACTAAACTCTTACAATTGAAGATCAACATGCCTTTATAAAAAATATATATATTGAAAGAAGATGTACCTGACAATCAAGAGGAGTGGAAACCCAAAATCAATACTTTAATGTGCCAACCGCTTGCACTGAAAATACCTAACCATGAATTTGATGTTTGAAATCAATATATTAGAGGCTATATGTAGTGTAGGCATAAGAAATAAGAATTGATAAGGATATAAAGAAATATTAATAAGAACATTAAAAGTAGGTTTATCTTGATTTAAGTTGTTTAAAGTACATAACTTTGGGTAGGAAATAAAAATCCTATAATATTAAGAATTCTTATAGGAAATATAACCACAATCGTCCAAATAACTTTTTTTTTTTGAAGAAAAGATGATTTATTAATTGAAATTAGTTACTTTTCTACTTCTTGTAGTGATAACAATTCTTATTTATTTTGGTTCCTTATGTAGTACACAAATTATTGGCATGAATTTGGAGATATATCTAATAGAGATATTTATGTCTCTTTTATTTATATCGCATTACTTTCCAGTTCCTTTTTTGGGTAGGAAATAAGAATCATATAATATTAAGAATTCTTATAGGAAATAAGAATTGATATAAATCCAAACAAAAAAGGAGCAAGCCACGTAGGAAACTACTTGACGTCTCGTTAAGCCACGTAGGAAAGAGAAAACATGAAAGGATAAGAATGAGAATACGACTTTATTATATATATATATATATATGATGGATCATTTTCCGATTTTGATAAAGGATTTCTTTTTTGCGCATTGGCTCAGGAATAATATTGTCTTCTGATATACTTTATAGAATCATTTTGTTTATCCATGACTCTGTAGAAATTCTCCAGTTAAAAAATTAGGTAGAGAGTTATCTTCTCCTTTATAAATTCTATTTCGAAATAAAAAACTGATTATATACCTTGCCATTGAACAAATATTTGTTTTGAAACTATATTTTCCACATCTTTTTGTAAACTTCTTTTGCTGATTTACAATCAATTCTCAGAAGGAACTTTTTATTATATAAATCATCTTGAAATTTTGAAATGCAAAGAAACTATAGACAAAATTTCCTTTTTAACAGTGGAGTAAATCTTTTGAGGACCATACTATGTTCCTGAATGATATCTAACTAGTTGCTCTGATAGATTTTCTAATTTTTGCTTTAGTATTCCTCCATATTCTAATTTAGATGCGCCTGTTTCTACTATCATAAATGTATGAGGGTAAGGAATACCTAGCCATGGTAATGACTTAAGTTTTTCTTTAAGATAATTAATAATTTTAGTTTGTTCATCCGTTCAAGTTGATGGATTCGTTTTGAGTCTCCTCAATAATATTGAAGGGTTTTTTTTTTTTTTAATTTGTAAAGAAATCTGCTATATAATCAAACATTCTAGAAATCTTTGTAATTGATAATTTCTTGTTCATCTCTTTGTAATTGATAATCTTTGTAATTGATAATTTCTCGAGTTTTCTGGACTTGACAGCAGATCCTAATCATGCTACCACCAATTTAATTCATAACATGCTGGAAAATTGCCCATTCAACTACTTTTTCGCTCCACTTAGCTACAATTTACATCAATCACCAAATATAAGTAGAATCTACCTAATAATGCAATATTTGGCAAATATCAAAGGAAAATATTCACAAATTTAATGGCAATTATGCATCCTATCATCCACTTTTTGCTTGATCGAGTTTCTATAATGTACTCTTGATTCAAGAACAGTATCTTTTGGCCTGCATAAAACTACCCGTTTGGCAAATGGATTTTTTTAAATATTTATTTAAAATTTTATTGTAACTTACAATAGAAGTTATAGGAAAAAATTTTAAAATGGAAAACTTTTTTTTCTTTTCTTTCCTCTCTTCTTCTTCTCCCTTTCCCCTCCCCCTCCCCCTCTCCCGCCACCTCTTCCTCCCAGCCGGAACAAGCAGCAGCAGAAACCTTTTTTTTTTTTTTTGCATTTTTATCTCTCTCTCTCTCCTCCCCTTCCCTCCCCTGTCACCCTCCCTCTCCTTCTCTGCCCAATCTGGTCCCGCGACTAGATTGGCCAGAGGGGGAGAGGGAGAGGGGGGGAAGAGAGGTGGTGGGGGAGAGGGGAAGGGAGGGAAGAAGGAGAGAGAGAGAGGAGGAGAAGGAGAGGGAGAAGAGAAAGGAACAAAAAAAAAAAGAGTTGGGCGGCACGGGCTCCGGTGCCATTAGAGGAGGTGGTGGTGGGTTGAGATGGAAGAAGAAAGGTGAAAAGGAAATTTTTTTTTTGTGTTTTGGGTGTTTTGAAGTGTACAATTTATAAATTTTGAAGAGTTTTTTGATTTTACTAAAATTAAAGTTGTTAAAAAATTTGTAGAAAACAAACTTGGTCAAAAACCCTTTTGGCAAACAAGCCCTATACTCGATCCAGACTTGACCCCTTATAGCCCTGACATCCCGATCCATACTTGACCCCTTATGGCCCTCAAATCCATGCTTGGTAGGAATTTTTTATTTGATATTTTATTAAGTTGTGTATACTTGTATTAATGCCAAAAGTTTCGGTAGGTATTGATCCTAAGGGCATCCACAGTGGATTACACTCTATTATTACACTCTTTAGAGTCTAATACAGTATAATCCACATGCTACATTAGCAATCTACTATCTCGTCTTTTTATTATATTCTCATTCACATTGAATTACACTCCACATGGTATAATAGTATGGGTCCATAATCAAATCAAATATTTATTTTAATAATGCACAACTCATATCCCGTAAATAAATAAAGTAATTTTTTAAAAAATAATTTCATTATTCTTAAAAAATAAATTATTAACTTTCATTAAATTTTTTACCTTTTTTATTTTTTTATTTTCTAAAAAATAATATTATTAATTTCTGAGTTTGAACAATATATCTTTTTCTATCTCTCAAAAAAATAATATATTGTTATTTTCTGAAAAATAATTATGTAATTATTAAACAAATATGTGATACGTCAAATGTGAAAATATCATAATAATCCATACTTAATTAATAATTCTTTATATAATTAATTGATCTCCATAACATAATATTACATAATTTAAATCAAATAAAATACAAATAATAACATAATGAATACTAGTTTTCATTGTTATTGCCTTCGAACCGTTCACAAAATAATGAAAATTTAGAAAATTGTACAAAGAGATTGAGGAAAATGAGTGAGGGAGTAAGAGAAATAATAGAGTAGGATAATGGATATGAAAAAAAAAAGGTGTCTTGTGTGTTTATAAAGAAAGAGCAAAAAATGACCGTTGAAAAAAAAATTAAACGTAAACTTGCATCATGAAATTATAGTTGTTGTCCACGTTTAACCAAATTTATTTGTTGCAAAAAAAGGATCTGCTATCTCCTCTTTTACAATAGCATTTACACGTATCATTCTTATAATGCGTGTAATGTTCATTATATTGTGGCCGTGTAATGAGTTTGTGAAATGGGAGGTATATACCTCCCATGAACGCCGCTCAAGTAGAGCTGTTAATCGAGCCGAGTATTTGGCTGCCGAGCTCGACTCGAGCTTAATTCGAGCCGAGTTCGACTCGAGCTCGTTAGGCAAATGAGCTTTAAAATGTGTTCGAACTCGACTCGTCAAATATACATGTGGCTCGAGTTCGAGCTCGAGCTCGTGCAAATTAATCTCAATAAAAATCTATAATTTTCAATTTTTATACTTTTGACTTCTAAAATGACAAATATACCCTTTATTAACGAGCTCTAATGAGCTACTTGGATATCAAACGAGCCGACTAAACGAGTACATTTCTAGCTCGAGCTCGGCTCGTTTACCGCAACTAACGAGTCGAGCTCGAGCCTTATCAAGTCGAGCTCTAACGAATTTTCGAGCTACTCGTGAAGTTTAACAGCTCTACGCTCAAGTTGCTCTAATGAGTTTGGTATAATAGTGTTTAACTAATTTTTAGTAAGGAATGTTTACTCACCCATATCTCATATTTTTTAATAAAAATAAATCAAGTTACAAAATACTAGAAGAATTAATAAATTAAAGAAAATTTAGAAGAAAAAGAAGTAGAAAAAGAAAAAAAAGAGTAAAAACTAATGCCTAAAATTTCGTTACCAAACACTCTATGGTTTTCAACAAAAACCCATTATCATTAAACAGTTAATGACAGCGATAGTCATTGATGAACTTCTACCAAACGGCTCCTAAGATCTCATCCAAAAACACAAAAAAAGGTTAAAAAATCTAGAAATGTTAATAACGAGAAAAAACTTGAAGAGTTTTGGTGAATATGAAAACTAACTATTGGCAACAAACCGTAGAAGATCAGAGAGAAGTAATCGAAAAAGCTAAGAAGACGGCAGCTTAAACATTATTTAAATCTTTTTCTTCAAGAACTCCTGTATGTGGAACAAAATCAGCATTCAGCACCAACCAGAAGATGCCTTTACCCACAACAATTATCATATTACAGACCACGCGCTGTAAGGTTGTATAAAGAGCATGTTTCAGTGCAGCGTACCATTTAAAAGATGGCAGAAATTCATCTATCCTGTACTAGTGGTAAAAACATCTCTAAAATTAACTTTTAGAATGGTGCACAAGACCAAGACGCTAGGGATTTATGGAATAAACAACAAGATCACACAATGCCATATGCAGCATGTAGTAATCTAAAGCTAACCGTTGTTGCACAACAGATTCTGGAAGTGTTTCATACCAAGCATTTTTAACGCAAAAATATATACAAAGCTCTGTAATACAATTTGTTTACGTCGATCCTAATCTTACTGAAGAAGCGAATAGGAAATCTACTTGCCACGAGCGTACATTCAGAGCTAATCAAATGTCCTTGCAGACCAACTAAATCCATTATCCTAACCTCAAATAACAGGAATCCTATAAAAGCAACCTAGTGGTGAATGCTAAAACATACAGAGTTTCAAACTGCAGCATGATACCCTTCAATTGTATGCTTCATTTCGTCTAACTGTGCAATGACATGTTCCAGTTTCTTGCAACAGATCTCGTTAGATATTCTTGGAACGTAGTCACACTTCTCAAAAGGACGATACTCACAGGCACTTTTGATTTCTTCTCGCAGTGTCACTTGGATGTCCTGTTTAGAAAGATGAGATGCAAAATGCCATCTACTCAGCCCACGATTGCAGTTACTATCATAACATATGAAGCCTATACCAATGCTATTGAGCAGGGACAAGTGGATAAAATGCCCAATTACCAAGATAACAAAGGATCCACACATCTTAATAATGGATATGCAGAACTACAATCTTTTTTTTTTTACAGGGCTTATAAGAACAATTTTACTTTTTCTTCAATATGCCAGAGGTATTATTTGTCAAACCCTACATCTTCTTGCTTGTAATTTTGTCTTTCCAAATGACAACACAAACAAAAGAAGATATGAAGCAACAGAACAAAATGTCATGTTTCTTCTGGTTGCAGAGAAATGCAGGAATTGTTAACAATCTGAATCTCAAACAAGAAGATTTCCATCCTTTTAACCAGCATTTCCAAAACAAATCCCAAAGAAACAACAAAAGCTAACAATATGACAAAAAGCATAGCCTTTCCTTGGACAACAAAACCATGTGCAATTGACTTATTGCAATAAATTGCAATGACTTGATCACTTACAAAAACAAAAAATTGTAATTCCATCCTCATGGTTTGGTCATTAGAGCGAAATAAAACTCCAGAAAACAAAGATGCAAACATAGATATACCTTCCAGAGTGTTACCCTTGAACCCATGGTATAATTTGCATGTGGTAGTCTAGTCCCCACATGAACTCTGAACTCTTGGTTACATAAATTTCAGAAATATATTCCACTCTAATTCAAAAATTTCGAACCATTTTTTTCTTTTCGCTTTGTTGACAGGGAAAGAAACTGATTCAGTTCTAACTCAAGTATTTCAGCACTCTGTGGCCATAAATTGAAACTACCACCATTACCTTCTAAGATGACGTAGGTGTTTACGACAAGCTAAAACCTTTCACAGAACCCCAAAGCAACCCTACTTGTAACTTTTAGACCTTACCAGCTTAAGGAAAAAAGCATACTGCTGGTAATAACTAATAAGAATTACCACATTCCCTTGCCACCACGACTAGTCAACCACAATAGCATTTGACCATCTCTACAGGGACTTGGGATTAATGCTTCACAATATTGACACAGTAATTAGATTCGCAAAGCAAGCAAATCGTACTACAAGGTACTTCTACATTGTCAAAGATACTGCTTTGTTTTGCTTTTATGACAAACAGCACACATTTTATAGATGAAAATCTTTATGCAATTGGATGAAAAGTTCTCAGTTCACTCTGTTTGGAAGTTAACTCTTCCCCTTCATATAAACATCCTAAAGATATCCCCTTCTCACAAATCATGTGTACATACAAGCCTATTTCGTGACAGCAATATGCGCATATCGTATTGAAATTGATCAGGAAGAAGATCATGACCTTGATCAATTGCATAAATTCACTGCAGTGACTATTAACAAGCTCCTTTCTTGGACTGCTAGGGTTTGCCAGTTCGTCCATTACGCTGCCAGCTAACTCCAATACCCTAACTATTCTCTGTGAAGCCAAAAATCAACAACATAGCCATAGAAATGTTAAAAGATTAGGTATTTGAGGAATAAATTCTCTAATTTATTGATTACCTTTTCAACATTTTGAAGCCGTTGCAATGATGTGTTTTGGCTCTGTGGATCCATGGCGTACGTCGTCTGCATCAAATCCACTCGACTAGTCGAAGTAAGACGTTAATGGAGTTAGGATTCAAGAAAGACAATGATTTTACAAAATTTAAAGTGCAAGCAATTAGGTTTCTTTAAACCCATCAACTTCTGATCGAGCAAACCTTATGTAGGTACAAGGACATAAAATGAGTCACTTATTGAGCAAATGGCAAAATATGTCACTCAACCTTTTAAGATTGCACCATTTGATCATTAAACTGTTTTTTAAGCCAAAATGGTTACCAAACTCATAAAATTGTATCTTTTTTGGTCATTTCGGGTGTTAAGATAGCCAAAAATGCATTCACACGAGTAGTATGCTTAGATTTTTAAGGGCAAAAATATCTCACAAACTTAGGCACACACTGAAAAAAGACATAGGACCCTTTTAATTTCCAAACTTTAGTAATTTTTTCCAGATTATGATAATAATTTTTAACAGTGCTTAGAAATTTTAGTCAATATTTGGAGAGAATTAGTAAAGCCTATGACCTTCCATTGCCATTTTTTAACCTGTGTTAGTGGAACAGAAATTTTGAAATGAAGTTAATGCCAAGCCAGATTTGAAGCTGAAGTTCGAACGGAGAATCGTTATACTTTTGCTGCTTAACAGCAAATGGAAAGTGTAAGGAACACCAATTACTTCCATAAAAGCAGAAAATTTTGGAAGAAGTAAAACATGAAACCAAAAAATACCATCTCATTCGAATGCTCAAAACAATTTTTTCTCACCAATCAGCTTGATTGCAGTAATCTTCAGGTCAATGCTTTCAGATTTAGCTTGAAATTCATGAAGGTGCATCTGTCTGCACAGATTAAGGCTCCAGTACCCAACGGGAAGGGGCAGAACACAGAAGGGCGGAGGAGTCTCGGATCCTTAATTCAGTCACTTCAATTCTATCCTTTCACAAATACAAGAATCCAATCATGAATACCCGACGGAATACAATAAATATATAAGCACGAACAACCAAGTTAGGAGGATCAATTAGTCTAGTAGCCAATATACCAGAACCGTTTTTAACAGATAACTGAGTAGTCTATGATTAATGAATATGGGCCGGATAAAGCTCACTCATTTTTTGTTGGTTGAACATTGGTTCAAATAGTCCAGATGTCATGTGGAACGGACAGCGGATATATAAACAGCTTCGAATTGTATAGCCTACTTTTTTATTTTGGACATATTATTTACACTTTGTTTTCGGCTAATAAACAGATTTTAATTTTGACAAATAGCAACATCTATACATCCAAACATTTATTTTCAAACTACCAATCTTCGTCTCTGGTTCAGGTGAAAAAATGAAAGAGTTTGATATTCTTGGGCAAGTATTTGTCTTTATAGCCAGATAATGAACATCCAAACAGACCCACAAAGAAGATGAAAAGAGGCAAGAAGCCATGGAAGTCGGAAAATATTGGGCACCAATTTTCTCTTAGATATCAAGCACAATGTTCTAAATATAGCAGAGACAAAGATTGCTAGTCGAATATTGTTGCTATTGTCTTTTTTCAGTTCACATTCACCATATGGGCTTCCTTCTGGGGGATTCCAGAGGCTAGTTCACAATATGAGATGTGGATTTTGTAGAAATCCAAAAATAGATGTTCGGAAAACTTGGAAAAATCATATCTTAAACTGGAGATCTGAGACGGCCACCTTAGATTTGACTAAAATTAGAGATTTTGTTACCCAAGAATAAAGAATTTTAACACTAAATGCTTGAAATGAGCCCAAATTCATGGTAGAAAAATAACCCACTTAATAGCAGTATATTACCATTATACCTGAAATTTCTAACCCTAATCTTGTAAATAAATTCTCAACAAAGAAACTAAAGCAAGAAATGGAAAAATTGAGCAAGAAAAGCAAATAATTTTCAAATATCAAAGATAGCCTAACCGTTTGGCTGCCATTACAATCTCCTCTTCCTCTGGTTTCAAATACCCCAATTACCATTAAGCCTTATGAAAATTATTGCGATCTCTTCACACCTTGATGTACGCATCTGAGAGTTAATGTTAGAGAGAGAGGGAGGGTGCAGTAAGGGAGCGAAGAACGGACATGAGGCCAGTATAGAATAGAGAACCGACATTAGGTCAGTGATGGAGTAGAGAACGAACATGAAGTTTTCTCTTGAAATTCCCATAACAATTTACCAAAATTCAACCCAAAAAAGAAAATAAGGGCATTTTTTACCTAACAACAATCTTCACTAAACCTTCTAACTTATCTACTTTCTTAATTAAACCCCCAATCACCATTTCCTAATTCCCTCCCAACCCGGCACCACTTAACCCACTATTTTCCTCACTTGCAACCACTCACCGTCACATCTGCACCATAATCACCTCTTACCTCTCTTCCACTCCGACCACCACAGCCAATTAAGCCTTCACTTCGCCCCGCACCCAACCCCAAAACCGTACCCACACTCGAACCCCTCAAAATTTGTACCCACAACTAAAATAAGGATGACCTGATTTTACCCATAACTCAAACACCATCCAAAAACATTGGGCAGAAATTTTTGACAAAAAAAAATTAGTGCAAATAGAAGGGAAAAAAAAAGGAGAGACATGACAGACCTACGCTTTGCGAAGAGTTGGTAGAGAACACCTTTTGTTTAGCGTCGCAAAAAGGACATGATCGATCAAAAGTAAAAGGAGGAGATGCTTTTTATGTTAATCGTTTGTATTGATGTTGAGAGTGTGAACTAAGAGAGTGAGAGACGACGGGAGAGAGGCTTTTCTATATGGTTCAAAAAGATTTTCTATGGAATCGTCGGGATTCAACTAACCAAATGGTTGCGCAACACTCCACATTTTTCAACATAAGTAGATAAAGAGCCAAAGAGCTCTGATGACCTGGATGGTTTTCGTCGTCCTCTCATGTGCCAAGCATGTGAATCACCAGCCTTTTTTTTTCCGCGCAATGCGCCAGACGTCTGCAGATACTTCCTCTCTAGGGTTTTCGTAAATTTCCTCCGCTGCCGCCGCTTTCTCTTTTCTCCCCTTCTCTCCTTCGCCTCACCTTTGTCCTCATTCTCAGAAGCTAAATCCATCCCAACACCAACAGATTACTCACGCGGTGCTGCGGTTCCTGACGACGTCATTTTGTGTTGTTCGCCTTTCAACTTCAATTTCTTTTTTTTTTTTCAACAAATCAACTTCAATTTCTCAATGTGTTATCTTTCGCTTGTTTCTTTTCGTCCGGCACGGTTTAGCTTCGTTGTCTTCTTCCATGACGTTCGCCACTGTTTTACCGTCTTGCGCGTGACTCTTCTAACTCTAACCCTAGGTCTAGGCCTGTCAACGGGTCGGGTCTAGACCCGGATCCGGACCGGATCCGTGAAATTTTTGCGGGTATGGGTAGAGATTTAATTCCGTTTCCCGGATCCGGATCCGGATCCGTTTTGTCAAACAAAAAAATGGGTCGGATACGGAATATAGTATTCCGACCCGTTTTAGACCCGGATCCGGATATAAATGAATTAATAATTTAAAAAATATATATTTATCAATATAATTTGATTAGGGTGATGTATTTTAATAAAGTTAATTTGATTTCTTTTCTTATTTGATTTTTTCTTTGCATTAGTTAGAAATTAGTTTACAAATATATTTTTTTCTCATTTTTATTAGAAATTATAAATTTTGGTAAATTTGTTCGGGTAGACCCGGATCCGGATCCGGGACCCGCCGGATCCGGATCCGGAATATAGAATAAAAGACCCGTCGGGTAAACGGGTCGGATCCGGATCCGGCATAGTAATTCGGGTCCGGGTCCGGAATAATGAATTCCGGCCCGGACCCGGCCCGTTGACAGCCCTACCTAGGTCAGACTAAAACGCCGCCTCTCTTCCCTTCCCTTTCTTCTTCTCGTCTCTTTCCTCAACCTTTCTCTCCGGTCCTTCCTCTCTCTCTCTCTCAATCTTGACCTCTTTATTTTCTCCTCTGACTTTCTCCACCACACTATCTACCTCTCCTCTAGGAGCTCCTTCTACCCCCAACATCACAAGTCCCCCTTCTCCCACCTCCCTGGGATTTCCTTCAACCTCCCTGCGCTTCAAGTTCATCGTCGTCGGATCCCCTCCCAGCCTTTGGGAGGACTTTCGATCCCATCACAAGATCCTCGCAGTCATCAGCATTTTTTACTGCTCTTCCTCCCTCGATCTCTATTCTCTCGCCCTTCAATTTTATTTTTAAATTTTTTGCTCCTCGTTTTTTTTCAGCGTGAATATCAATATTAGGCAGTATTTCGGTGTTTTTGACTTTTTGATTATTTTCCTGTTTCCCAGTCTACATGCGAAGATGCCTTTGCTTTTTTGTGATGTTTTGCTTTGATTTTCCAAAATATCTTGAAATTCTAGGGCTTAAGAGATGGTCATTTAGTGGTTTTTTTTTGTATCTTGACTGGTTGTATTCTTTTTATTTTTCAGGGGATTTTTCTTCAACAGCTTCAACAACAGGGTGCAACACCATCTGGGACGAACGACCCTATGATGGTGGTGTCTGCTCTCGCGGGCTGATGCAATATCTATACCATCAGCGTCAAAGACCTGCAGTGAGTATAAATGTGGTTTTCTTGCAAAAATACTTCGTGATCCTCTGTACTACCTGGCTTCCCTATCCTTCAAGATTCATGGATAATGTAACTAGAATGTATGTTTTGAGGAATAAAGAATGTACGAGTTTCATAAGAGTCTGGTCTAATTAGTTTTTTGGCTTGGATTGGTATTCTATAAGAGCTTTATTTTGCAGGATAATAGCATTGCTTATTGGAGGAAGTTCGTTTCAGAATATTACTCTCCCCGTGCTAAAAAGAGGTGGTGTTTGTCTCTATATGACAATGTTGGGCACCATACGTTATGGGTATTTCCCCAGGTAGCCATGGTACTTAGTTTATCTGTGTAACTTGCTTTTTTCAAAACTATTCTGTGACTTGAGTTGTGTGTGAAAAAGATTATTGCAAATTCGTTTGTTCAAATTCCTTGTCAAAATATGCAGGTTGATTAGTAATGTTATGGTGTGCTTTTATATCTAGATTGCGGTATCCTTGTGGATCTCTTGGAACATATAATTTTGTAAAGTTTAAGTGGAAAGCACCCTTTCCCAATTGGAGTATGTAAATCATGATTATTTGGGGATGTGAATTTTGTTCCTCATAATTGGTATTTGTTATTAAGATCCTGCCGATTGCTCTCCTCTTTGAGGAAAAAGTTAAAACCAAAATGGAATAGTCAAAAAGCTACCTGTGGCATCCCTGATTATTATGCTAATTGTTTCCATTTCTTTCTATTTGTCAGGATGCATGGCAATGTGATATTTGTGGTTCAAAATCTGGAAGAGGTTTTGGTAAGTTCGGCAGGGAATCCCTTAGATATATCATTGACATTCCATCCTTGGTATGCCTTTATATTTTCTTATTTTGGTTAAAAACTGCCCACCTCCTCTCATTTGGCCATTTAGGGGATAAAAAGGAATTGTCTAGAATACAATTCTGGGGTTTCAATATGTTAATTGATACCACTACCTCGAGAATGTGAGCCTTCCCCTGAATTTTCTTGAAAAGGAAAGAAAATAAAAAGCCATTCTTTTTTCCCTTTAATTTCCTAAGGTTTTTTTCCTTAATTTGAACTAGGACCTACTTATTTTTATAAATTTGTATGGACCATCTGATCATTTTCATTTATTTCCCTTTATTTACTATTGGTATTGTTATAAATTGAGTGCTTAAACTTTACTATTGCAAGTTTGACTGTAACAATCCTAATAGCTATATTAGCAGCAACAGTAATCCCAGAAAGAAAGATAGATTATTTCAAGTAATGCCACCATCGAGCAACAGTTACTTTTTTCCCCTTTTTTCCCAAATCATTGGTTTTATGTGTTAAATTTATTTTTTATTTATAAAGTTTAAATTGCCAAATTATCTTGAGGATGTTTTTTGTAATTATGAATTTGTCTATAATACTGGAAGCTGGTAATGTGTTATTTCACTTTTTTTTTTGTTAGAAAAATATGAAAGTGATCTATTTGGAAAAGTTGGTATAGATTCTAATGAGGCCTTTGTGAAACTATGGTGGAACCTGTTTCCTTTTTTGTAAATTTTTAACGCTTACGGTAAGTGTTAGGGTAATTGGTATAATAGATATGATTTGAAAGCTATATATTTGTTAATGAATATTGATAAGATGAAACTTTTGAAGCAAGTTTAAGGGATAATCCTGAATCCTGTGAAATATTTTTCTGTCTTCCTGTAATCTTGTGTAATTTTTTAATTAAGAAACTAATGTTTTTGCAGGTTGAATGCTTAACTGGGTTTGAAGGTTTTTCTAAGAGTCTTTGTTGTAACTATTTGGGTTGATTTTCTGAGTTCTAATGTTTGGATTTTTGGTTGGTGCCAGTGATACTTGGGAATGCATTTCATGAGAAAGAATCACCTAGATTTAGGTTTGTCTCTTTATGTATTTCTTCTCTGTTTGAACAATCTATTCCAATTCTTCCTTATCCAGTTAGCTTCTTGTTTTATTTTTAATACTTGTGTTGCCTTTCTTTCTGTTGTAGATATGAAGCGATTGTACAGTTGTAAATCACCCTTTTGCCCTACAAACACTTATTTGATGGCTCCAAACAGATTCAAGCACCACACTTAAGTTCAGACAGCCTAGAGGCAATATTAGTTTCTCCACGAATGGCTTTGCCATCATGTACCTTTATATTCTTTTTTACAGCATAAAAAATCCTAAACTTTAAAATGAATATGGTTATGCATGCATGTAGTCTTCTATTCCATGCTTCTACTTTATCTAGAATACCTTGAACATTATTTAACCTTCCTTCTGTTTATTTTTGTTATAGATCTTCCTCTGCTAGCATGCTTGTTTTCTTTATTTCACCAATTTGGAGATGAGAAAATTTGGGAAAGATGCTCTTACTTCTGTGTGGTTTGCTTACTTCTTTTTCCTGAGATTTTAGTAGCTTGGCTTTTCTAAAATACATTTGAAATTAATGTAGTGACTGTAAGTCTTATAGGGGAGATCTTTCTTTGTTTCTCTTCCTGCAATAACTATTCAAATGTTTTAAGCATTGTTCTCCTTTGGCTGATATTTTTCCTTTTGTTTGTTTGAACTTATGGTTTTTTATAAATTGTGAAGCATAATTTCTAATATTTTTGGTTTTGTTTCTCTATATTTTGAAGTTGTGGTTGGTTTGTCGAAGGGAAGTTGCGCATACCTAAGGGCGAGGGCAACACCATTGTTGGCTTTGAACAAGTGCTGATGGAGATTGCTCACATTCATGAGAAGATTAATCGCTTTACTTAGGTGGTAGTTTTGCTCTACCTTATGTTTTCATGAAAATCGCAATTAAGAACTTAAAAAGTGTTTGAGGTTGTTGGCTGCAACATATTGGTCTTGTCATTTTCCTCTTTTTAATCGGTACAGTTGATATCAGAATTGAATGATGCATTCTAACTTGTGGGACTGATGAATCTACAGAGGATGAAAGTTTTGCAAATTAGCTCTGTTATCTTACATTTTGGAGTTTAATCCAGAGTTAAACAATGTTACATTAGGTTTTTAGACAGCAGAATTTAGACAGCAGAATCTATATTCATTATGAGGCTTGATATTTGATTTGATTTATGCATGTGGCTATGCTAATTATGTCCCATTTGCTAAGGTATTAAACATCTATTGTTAATTTCAAAAGTTTTTTCATGTACTAATTCAGAACAATTGTTCTTGATGTTTCTTGTTACTGAAAAGATATAAAACTTTTGTGAATTTAGATATTGTACTTTTACTTCTGCACGAGTTCAATTTTTTGCATATCTTTTAACTAGAAAGTAAAGAAAATTTAACCTGTATACTGCAGTCATGTGGCATAAATAGGCACCCTTAGTATCGTTTTTGTTTAGTTTTTGAGCATTAGGATGCTGGTCTCATCATTCTATGTGGCAGGTTGGGGACAGTGGATCTGCATTTTAGGGGTTTGGTTATAGAGATATGAGGTTCTACGTACTGATAATGTTGAGTTTTGAAAAATGCAGATAAAAGTACTTTTAGGCAGTATTGGTAAATGCATCAAGTCAGAAATGCAGGACCATTGAGAACATCTTTTAATTGACCATGGCACCACCAAGATCAAGTTGATAGAGTTGACGACTTATTGCCTTTACTTAAGTTTCACTTTTGACTCTAAATTCCAGTCAATTAAGGTCATGAATTTTGTATCTAAGAGGTCTAATGGGTTAGTAGCATTCTTCACTATCAGTGCTTTGAGCATTTGCTTGCAATTAGTGATAAAGTGCTCCGGATAATAGTATTGAAAGATTGGAAGACAGCATTATTGTTGCATATTTGTCTTCTTATTGATTATTATTGAATTTATGCTAAGTTTTGTGCTAATTTTTGACCATGTACAAGAGATTTCTGTCCCTTGCTTGCTCACTGATAGGAGAGCTTTTGATATGGCTAGCCATCCAGACTATGGAGTCTCCGGTTGTGGTTGCTTTGGAGAATTTAGAGACTTTGGTTGGGGTTGCTTTGCAGACATGCCAGTGTCACGGTTTTTTCAATTGGAAAAGAAAATATAGATGGTTTTAGAAAAGAATAGCACAAACAAGTATAATATTTGGATGATGGCCGGGATAAATATATTTTCAAATGGCAAATCCTTTTGTTTGATCCTGATTTAAGAAAACTATATGCTCGTGACAAAAGTTGCTCTAGGGATTAGGTTTTTATTCTCAAAACATACTATTTCATTATACTTTTGGTTTATAATGTTTGTATCAAATTCACAATGCTTTGCTACAGTGACTTGCATGAAGAACAAATATGTATATACTATAGATAAAGATGTACAGACATAGAAACATTGACGAGTGCTTTTATAATTTATGTTTAATTGGGCATGTAATGTTCAGTTGCTGGCGCGCATCTTGTGTATAAACTTCTTCCTGTATCTATATTTCAACAAGTTATAATTTGCATATCCTTGCATTCAACTTGAACAGTTTAGCCTTCAGGTCATTTCAGGCTCCTGCTGGTGCCATTGACTCTTGTGCTGACCATCTTTGTGTTTGGCATGTTTATCTTATTCTGCAAAACAAGACCACAATAGAGGTTTGCATTGGTGGTGATAGTAATTTTTTTTCATCTATCTGGCATCTGATCAAGTCTGATGACCACTTCCTACCTTTTTTACCGTACAGTACCATTAAGGTGTGAGAGCTACGTGGCTTGCTGAAAAAGGAGGTTATCTATATTCACATCCATATGATCTTGATGCTTATGAGAATATGATATCAGTAAGTTGTTTCTCTCTTCTCTTGTTCTTAGTAGCAAATCAGAGAGCCTAGAGTAGGCACTTCATTTGGCTGATCAAATTAGGCTTTTTGTGCATAGAAGTTTACTAACTAATACTGTAGATATCATGGTACAACATGCTCTCCGAGATATGGTCTTAGCTTTCTAGGCATTTATACGTGATTTACTTGACTTTCAGGTTTTAGGACCAAATATCTTTTGCTGGGTATATCCCACCTCAGAGCAGATTGGTTCTGACCTTCGTTTCCACGCGGGAGTTGATAAGTTAGCAGGGATATCATTTTAGACGTATGTAGAGCTTGGAGTTTCAATGATTTTGTATTGCTGGTAGTATTGGAGGAAAGGCAGCAGGTCCTATATCATTCATTGATGATAATCAAATTCTGGTGCACGCGTGCTTTCTTTTTGGAAATACAACCATTAAAAAAAAGTTTGTCTTGTGGAGCTCCTCCATACACTCCACGTTGTTGCAGAAGTAGTCAATGTTGACTAGACTTCTGAAGCAGTCAGATGTAAAATAGGACCCTCCTTCTTATAACTCTTTTTTTTTAAAAAAAAGTACAGTCCCCATACAATCATGTACAAATGACAGAGTTCCAGGCTAACTCACAGCAACTTCAAGTAGAAGAGATAGGCCAAAAATTGTAACTTAAAGATGTTGTAATGTTGTGACTCTCAGGAAGTGTATGAACCATTTAAATATTAATAAATATTAATTAAAAAGTATTAGCTTTAAATCCTAGCAGTACCTCTCTATAAATATTAAACGAGTAATAAATATTAATTAAAAAAGTATTAGCTTTAAATCCTAGCAGTACCTCTCTATAAATGTAAATAAATATTCGTACTATTTTTGTGAAATGATTTTGCCGTTTACTTATTCATGTATATTTATGCTTAGCTGTGTACACAAATTATTAACCAACAAACATTTTTGTTCCATGAATTCACATGCTTAAGGGGGCATATTTTATATTTATCCCAACGCACAACGCGCGTTTTATGCCTCCTAGTTATTTATTCAATTTGAGTGAAATTTTGGCTCACTAATTTCCCTTTGTTTGGTGTTATCGTTTGGAAAAAAAAAAATTCCCTTTGTTTGGAAGCAAAATAAAATTTTCAATCTAAGTGTTTTAGTTTTAATTTTAGTTGTTTCTAATTTTTTTTGTCAAAAATTTGTTTCTAATAATTTGATCAATGGCATGGTTTTAGTTATAATATTCCTTGCAAATTGCTTTTTGTGCCCTTTCTTTATACCAAGTCACCAATTTGTGACCTTTGAAATGTCTGAACATTTTTACTCGACGATTCTCCTTAAGTGAGAGCTTATCTCTCTAAATGAGAGCCACTCTTCTTGGTGTGGGAGGGAAAAATCCAAGGACACACTTTTTCAAATTTCAAGCATGAGTTCAACCACCATCTTTCGAGCCAATTTTCAAACTCTTCAAACATTCAAAAATTCATAGATATTTTCCAAATTCCCAATTCCAGATCCAACCAGCACTCACTTAACTGTATCTGTTGATAAATACTTTGAATAGCTAGTATACTTTGTGTGGAAGCATTTATTAGCCAATTGTCATGAATCCTACCTTCAAACAGCAAATTTCTTAGCTCAAAACACCGACCTCAACCTAGTTACAGCTTTGTGTTTATGAGCTCCTTTCTAGTATTCTCATTTTTTGACTTTTTTTTTCTTCATTTCCATTTGGTTCTCTTTCATCTTCTGATATCTTGTCTTTGATCTCTCTTGTAAGTAGTAAGTACTCACTGAAAATCTGTTTGGTTTACCCTCTCATCTACAGGTTAAACCAAGGTATCAAGTCCATTGTGGAATTGTACGGAGAACTCATAGTAAGTTCACAATGGCTGAAGAAATAATAGTAGCTTCGCAAAGATTCGATCAGTCAGAGAGTAAAAAGGAAGGAGAAGATCTAAGTGTGGATGTCATTGAACAAGGGATTGATGAGTGCAGACTAAGTTTGATTGACAAGATAATAGGGAAGAAGGTGGCAAACTTTATAGGAGTAAAGAACTTTACTTCACATGTGTGGATATATCCAAGGCACCTAAGGTAACAGAGCTAAGAGCAAATCTGTATCAATTTTATTTTGAAAATGAACAGATTAAGAGAAAGCTCTCTTTGGGAGCCCATGGATCATGGATAACCAGATTCTGGTATTGAGAAGTTGGGAAGCAAGAATGGAAAATAACCCAACAGCTTTTAATATGGTATCTTTGTGGATACAAGTTTGGAACCTATCAATTCACTGGTTATGCAAAGCGGTGGGTTACAAGTTGGGTGAAGTTTTCAACTCGGTGAAAGAAGTTATAATCCTAGTGGGAGAAGGAAAGAAAGGAAGACATATGAAGATTTTTGCAGAGCTAGATGTCTCCAAACCTTTAGCCAGGGGAACAAAAGTTAAATTGAACGGAACATGACATTGGGATGAGTTTAAATATGAGAAGTGCCCAGACTTTTGTTATAGATACGGAAGAATTGGTAATGGGGACAAAATGTGCAAGGATGATAGTGTGGGTGAAAGTAACGAAAGAGATGAGCAATTTGGAGCATCGATGAAGGCTGGAAATATTATGGCATCACCACTACGATCTATAAGTGGGCTCCAGCACAACAATAACAGTAGGGGGGACAGGAAAATGGAGGATGGAAAAGTCACCAGACCCCTTAATGAACATTCAAACTAGGAAAGTACATATAAGAAATTGGGATCTACAAACCTCTCTGATGATATAAATGGTAGGGGGAGAGATAAGAAGGAAAGGAACCAACAAGAGGAACCATCAAAAGAATGTGAAAGACTAACAATCTAGAAAATGGAGGTGGTGTGAGGACCCGAAATTTTCTTATTTTATATTATTCTACTGGCTTAATTAAGTATTTATTCACCCATTTTCTCTCAATAATTTATTTCAAATCTTTTAGACCCAATTATATGGAACTATGACTTACTTATATTTTTAAAATGACTCGTTTCAAAAATTTAATTTTTGAAAGCTCGTTAAGTGATATTAGTGAATTCGCATTTGGAAACAATAATCGATTCGAGGATACAATAAACTTGAAAAATTGGAGACTTGTACATTAGTCTTGAAATAGGTATTTTTATGTTTAAGTGTTCGATTATTAGTTAGTGAAGCTATCGTTATAAGAATTTCTTGGAGATTTCGCTTTATCGCGCAAAAATCGGAAGTACGCGTTTTACGCGCGCGATTAAATTGAGGGAGTTAAGACCATTATTTTTAGACCATTAAGAGTGAATAATAATAGTATGAATATAAGTGCATTAGTAGTTTAGTGCTCAAGTGAAACAAACCTGAGAGGATTCGAGCACAAAACGCGCGGGGAGAGAGTTGACTTTTGCTTAATTTTGGGCCACACATTAAAGCCACTCAAGGAAGCCTCACTTTTGATCAAACACACTCTCTCTCTCCTCACTAAGACAGCCGGCCATCAAGCTTGAAAAACAACTCAAGAGTTCTTCAAATTCCTTCATCAAATCTTCATCAAACTTTTTCCAATTCACCTCAAATTTCACCTACACTTAGTTAATCACTTGGTGATCATCTTAAGCTACAAAAGGGGGCTGCTTTCCATGGTTCTTGGGCTTCATTGGACCGAAAATTCTGTCTTAGTTCATCTAAGAAGGTAAACCACGATCAACCCTTCAAATCTTGCTTTATGGAAGTAGTAGTGCACATATAAGCTCATGCATGCATGTGAGTAGTTTATTTATGTTGGAAAAATTGTTGTGTGGGCTCTATGAACTCCCACTTTAGTTAGATGGACTGATTTTATGAATGATGATGCTATTAATGTTGGTTTAGTGCTTAATTTAGTGGAATAATGTTGTGTTGTTGGTGGAAACTCAAAGGGGAGTGAAGGTGAAAATTTTCCATTTCTGCCCCTGTGTTGTCCGTGACCTTTAGAGTGATTTTTCATGGTTCTAATGACTTGGTTATGATGTATGTATGTTGCGTGGGTTGTGTAGAAAGTTTCATAAAAAAATAACGTGATTTGGTTGGCCAAAGAATGTGTTTTCGGAAATCAGCAAAACTGGAAATTTTTCCCGTAACTGCTCTGGCAGTGTTCTTGTTTTCACTATAAATTTTTACCCCGATGTCAAAATCGAGTGCCATTTGTGGTACTAGAAACTAGACATTCCTAGCTTTCTAACGGTATAAAATGCACATTCTGATTCCATCTGAGCAGTCCGTACCAATCATTTAAACATGACTGTCTTGTTTCACGTCTACACTGAGAGCTCTGTTTTGAGCAGCAAATTGATGCTCAAATGTGAGCTAGTTGTGGATAGATTTTGAGAACGATTTCTTTTAAGAAATTGTAAAATTATGAATCTAGTTTTCAATGCCACCAACCATGCTCAATTCCGAGTTGAATTGAGTGATTTATGACCAGAATTCGAAACTGACTTTGTGGGAGAAAACCCTCATGTTGGACAGATTTGTAACCAATTTTGATTTGAGACTTGCTCTTCGAAATTCTTGATTTAAATCACCTACCAAATGTATCTTGGATCCTTATTAGACCTGGTTAGCATAAATAAGGCATGTTTTAAGCATTTTATTGGCCAAAGGTTTGAGAAAAAGAAAACTAGTGGTGCAAGGCAGCTTTGTCTTGGAGATTTAGGAATTTTGATGGTTTTGTTAACCAACTTCCCGAATGAATTTTCAAATGAAATTTGGTAGAGGAGTAGT